TCTTCCAGCTAGTAGTATCAGTTTACAGCTGTGTGCGTGATTATCAAATGGAAATTGTATATTTTTGGGATTTACTTCTAAACAAATGAAGTTACTGACTTGTAAGACTATAGGGGTTTTTTTTAGGCTGTATAAAAGTGTGTGATGAACAAAGTTTACTGGTAAAAGTAGTATGTCATCTTTTCACTATTGCTCTTCATATGGTGTGTAACTTGAATCTTGGATTCTGAATAATTGGCAGAGGCATTTCTAAAAGGATATTTTAAGGAAGAGATGCTCTTGCTTTAAAGAGCTCTCCTATCTTTCTGCTTGATCAGGATATAGAATGGTTTTAATTGTCAGCTATCTCTGTACCACCTTAAGTTACCGTTTGGACTCTACTACTTCTTGTATATGTGTAGTTTGTCTGTGGGAGGAGGAAGGCTGTGTATATGTTTACCTTATTTATTTTTCTCTGACATATTTTGTACTTACAGTATTGCATAATAGGATCTTCATGCATTCTATAAATCCCTTGATGCAAAGGGAAATATGGAGACTTTGTGCAATTGCAAGCTCCCAATACAAAGTATGCAAAGTAATTTCTTGGTAACTTCCATAGTGAGAAGTAAGTATTATAATCCTGCCCCAGGAGACATAAAACATTTTTTCTTATTGTGGCTTCTAGCTTATGAATACTTAGACTGTGGCAGTGAGCTATGTGACATCTGTATAAGAAAAGGAGAGAAATGTCAAGGTCTGGGAAACAGTCAATTAATACAGTGGTGAATTGCATGCATTTGAGCTGTTTTGTTTCCAGACAGAGAAGGTTGATGTGCCAATAATTTATAAAGGGTTTTACCACACACTGGAGTCCTAGAAATGCTTCCTAAGTGTTAACAAGTGTTAGCTGCTGTCAGAACCTCAGAAAAATGTTCCTCCTCATCATGAACACATGAAGGAAGAGGTTATTTTAACAGATAAATGTGATTTCTTCTCAGTTGGCATATAGGATATTGGGTGGGGGTGTTGTTCTAGAAACAGCATGGTTTAGGTAAAAATAAAAAGTTTTTTTTTTTCTGTAAATCTAAACAGAACTTAATAGGTTAAAAGGACAATTGCTTAATAACTTCAGGCTTTATTCTAGGCCAAACTTGGACAAAATCAAGAAGATGGGCTCTGTGTGGGAGGTTCTGGAAAAGTATTTCCCTCCTCTCAACAGGAGTGGGGGGGGCATTTTTTTTTTTAATTTCTTTTCTTAAAGTCCAACAGGAAAATTTCCTTTCTTGATGGGGTGGAAAAAATTTCCAAGCACTATTTGTAATGCAAATATTTTTTGCTCTTTCACTGTTCTAAGAGTACATAAATGGCATTGCTGGAATTGTCTTCTTCACTTTTTATTTATTTTTATATTATAAACTTTTGCTGTAACTATTTTGGGGTAACATAAGGGTGGCGATAAAATTAAAACATATCAAGGACAGGATAGTTGCACACAGATTTGGTGTATGTGCACATATGAAAATTTACTTTATGCTGCCAAGTGTGAAGCTGTATTCTCTTAGAAACAATAAATGTTGGACATATATTGGAAAGGGGATAGTGTGATACCTAGAAAGCAGTGGAACTGAAGAGTAACACAGAACTACTGGACTTGGGCACTGGTGGGGACTGCAGAGTGGCCCCTGTGAGGAGAGGCTGGGACTGCCCTGTGCTGGACACAGCTGGTTCCAGCCAGCTCTGACAGCCCCACTGCACTGCACGGCTGAGCCCCACAGCCAGGATGGTGGTGCCTGGGGAAAGCCTGGTTAAGGACAGGCAAAATGGTGCCAAATGGTCAGCAATGAGGACTAAATTATGAGAAAAGGCCCTGTGAGCACTGAGGTGAGAGGAGGAAGATCCTCTGCAGCCCTTGGAGGATCTCCCACTGGAGCAAGTGTATATGCTTTGAAGGAAGCTGTAGTGCATGGAGGATCCACGTAGGAGGAGGCTCCTGACAGTATCTGCAGCCCATGGAGAAGAGCCCATGCTGAAGCAGAGAGGAGCTGTCATGGGCTGATCATAACCTTTATTCCCCACAACCTCTGCATTTACATTATTTTTAATTGGCAATAAATTTAATTAATTTTACCTAAGTTGAGTCTGTTTTGCCAGTGGTGGTAATTACTAAGTGATCCCACTGTTTTTCTCTTGACCTCTGAGCTTTTCAATTTTTTTCTCCTCCCTCATGAGGAGGAGGAGGAGGAGTAGTGAAGAGTGGCTGGGTGGGTGTCTGGCAGTTGACCAAGGTCAACCCACCACAACAGGATACAGTGAATGAGTAGCTGAACTTCAGCTACAGTGTTGGGGACTCAAATTCCTATTCTGACTGTTGCTCCATGACTCACAAAGGCAATGGTTACAGATAATACCACAATCTGAATTTTTAAAGGATGCTGTAAAAACCCCTAGAAAATTATAGAGGGAAAGGGCCATAGGAGCAGTTGGGATGGAAAAATCCCTCTGTAGTGCCAGACTTGAACAATAAGGGATGATCTTTATTTGAGCAGAAAACCATGATGATGTATGGGACCTGTGCTGTTTAATGTCTTCATTGATGACATAGTGGGATTAAGTGTACCCACAGGAATTTTGCAGATGACACCAAGCTGAATGGTGAGGTTGACATGCCTAAGGGACAGGATGGCATCCAGAGGGACTTGGACAAGCTGGAGAAGTGGGCCCATGTGAACCTCCTGAGGTTCCACAAGGCCAAGTGCAGAGTCTTGCACCTGGATCAGGGCAACCCTCAGTACCAATACAGGCTGGGAGAGGAAGGGATTGAGAGCAGCCCTGCTGATAAGGACTTGGAGGTACTGGTGGATGAAAAGCTGGACATGAGCTAATAATGTGTGCACGCAGCCCAGAAAGCCAGGCATAGCCTGAACTGCATAAAAAAAATGCACCCTGTAGGTGGAATGAGACGATTCTCCTCCTCTACTCTGTTCTGGTGAGACCCCATATGGAGTGCTGCATCCAGCTCTGGCATCCTTAGCACAGAAAGGACATGAACCTGTTGAAGTGGGTCAGAGGAGAGCCATGAAGATCATCAAAGGGATGGGACACCTCTCCTATGAGGAAAGGCTGAGAGGGTTGGAGTTGTTTAGCCTGGGGAAGAGAAGACTTTGAGAAGACCTTTCACTCTACTTGTGGCCTTCCAGTACTTAAATGGGGCTTGTAAGAAAGATTGAGACAAACTTTTTAGTAGGATCTGTTGCAATAGAAAGGACAAGGGGTAATAGTTTTAAACTAAGGGAGGGTGCATTCAGACAGGATATAAGGAAGAAAATTCTCACTATGGAGGTGGTGAATCACTGGAACAGATTGCCCTTGCCCAGAGAGGTGGTAGATGTCCCATCCCTGGAAACATTCAAGGTCAGGCTGGACAGGGTTCTGAGCAACCTGATCGAGTTGAAGATGTCCCTGCTCATTACAGGGGGGTTGGACCAGATGATCTTTAATGGTCCCTTCCAACCCAAACCATTCAATGATTCAGTGATGGTACTTTTATACAAAGCAAATGGTATGCTAGCTCAGAGCTGTGAGAACTCGTACTTGAAGGCCCAAATGGTAGTCCAAGCAAGAAATGAGGCTTCAGCAGAAGTAATCAACTGTCAAAAGAAAACAATAAGAAGCATAATATTCTTGATCTATTTATGTCTTCAGATCAAGACTGGATATCCATCTGCTAGGTTGTGTGCACATCTTCCCCCATGAGGCAGGGGAAAGGGAAATTAATTCTTTAGGGATGAACAAAGGAGGTCTGAGTGCATGAGAGAAGTAGGTGGCAAGATTAGACTAATTCAAGTAAAGTAAGACTAGTTTCTATCAGTCAAAAGAACATTATACTCTTAAACAAGCCATGTTTCTAAATACTGTTGATGAGGGGAGAGGCTCAGTTCTTGTTTGTACCCTCTGTAGCAATTGTTCAGTTGGCTGATGCGGATGGAGGAAAGGGACAGCATTAGGAATGCCCATTCTGTCTTCAGAAGTGGTCCTAAACCCAAAGGAATTTGTGATGCTTTCGGGAGGAAAAAACAAACAAGCAAAAACCCACCAAAATATCAAACAAACAAAAACACCAAACAAAAAACAACCAACCACAAACAATTAACATAAACCTGTGTAAAGAACTGTATTTAGCTATTCTACAGCACTTGGTAGACTTGTAGCCTGCCATGGAGTAATCATCATAACTGTGACCAACTCGGGCCTTGCAGGAATACTTATGAATTGTAAGGGGACACAGTGGAGTCCTTTTCTGGGAGGAAAGCAGCTCTTACGAGAGGGTGTATAGTGAGGTGCAGTGAGGGAGGAGGGAGCTGGGTGGGCGTTGATGTCAGGCTAGTGGTTATTTCACTTGTTTGCTCTGAAATTTCAGTATGTCTGATACAAGATTTATCCAAGAATGTATGGGTTTTTTTCTTTTCTCTCTTTGATATAAAACTATAGAAATGTTGACTAATGTTTTCCTTCTCATTTCAACAAGAATTTGAGGTAACTGCAATTACTGTGCACATATTTTTTTACCATGTAGAAACTGTATATGGTATTCTTCAGTAAATATGCCTGCCCTGTAATACGAATACAATGGAAAATACACTTATGGATTAATAGAAGTCTCCCCATTTAGAAACAGACTGAGACATTACCTGATTATAAAACAATGCCTAGTGTTTATATAGAACTTCTCACATGTAAATATTATTATACTATTGTAAAAGAGAAATATTACTATTTTTTACAGGTGCCAGGGCATGGAGAGGAAAAGATTAATTGTTCAAGGCCATCCACATGGCCAGCCCTGATCTAGCTCTTAGTCCCATGCTCTTTCCAGTAGACAATATCTGATCTGTCCAGTGTAAGGACTTCTCGAAAATACTGATTATAGCTCCTGAAGCATATATGAAATGACAAGTGTTCATTGCTGAATTGTCTTTTTTTGTTGTTTTTTTTGTCTCTTGCAGATCGTAAAGTGTCTGGAATTTCCATTGAAACAGATAACAAAAATGTAAAAGCAGAGGAGTTTAAGGGTATGGTATCAGCATTGCTGTGATTATTTTTAATATATACACAAGACATGAGAGCTATGCATTCAGAAGCTGTGCAGCTGTTAAGATTGTCTTCCTCTTTCCTGAGGATCAAGACAATCCTACTTTCTCCCTTAACTCTGTGTAACCTTGTTCTTGTCCCAGTATTTTTGTCTTACTTTATGTGGGGTTGGACTAGGTGCCTCCCCAGAGGTTCTTTTCAGCCTCACCTATTCTGTGATTCTTTGACTTGTTTCTCAGTCCTGGTATCTCATTCTGTACCTTCTCCTTGGTTTCCTTCCACCCAAAATGCTGGGAACTGGTAGAAAGCAGAAGCATTAGTTATCTTATGAGACAGAGAAGTGAGGGACTTGATAGAGAACAAATGTAAGGCAGCTAATTGCCAGTAACTATAATTTAAAGGCTATTTTTAATTGTCAGTAACTATATTGGCTATTTATATATGTATACGTCATAGGTAAAATGATAAATGACTTCCAGTAATGTACTAGAGAAGTTAAGGAGACAGGAAGAAAAACCTGATGTTCGCTGAGTAGATGAGAAAGGGATCCTAGTAGTGCGTTTGTGAGGTTTGTGGGTTATGTGGGGTTTTTAGTTTTTTCATTGAATTTGGTAGGAATGGAGAGATGGGAGTTCGGGAATTGAAAGAACTATTTGCTGAGCTTTAGGCTTTAATCATCTGTTTGAAGTAATAATCAAATACTTTGGTGGTCTCTGAAGCTGTTAGCTGGGCTCCTGTCAAGTATGCTTGTCACTATTGAGGAAGAAAAACTTAACTTAGAGCTCAGGACAGGCAAGAGCAGCGAGAAGCTCTTCAGGTAATATTAGAGCTTGATTATCTTCTGTCTTTTTGTATGATATATGGCTTGCATTTTGTTCTTTTCTTATTTATGAGAGTGATACCTGTTTAACATAGCTCAGATGCCATGCCAAATTCTTTGTGTAGCAGCACTAAGGGAATGGCAGGGGCTGACAGATGTAGTTATTCACCTGGATGCAGCTGATCTGAAATGCTTTTTTGTTGTTTTTCTTTCTCCTCCAACTCCTGTTATTGTCGGAAGATGGTCATTCACTGGAACAGGCTCCCCAAAGAGGTGGTCATGGCACCAAGCCTGTCAGAGTTCAAGGAGAATCTGGACAACACTCTTAGTCGTATGGTTTACTGTTAGGTAGTCCTGCAAGCAGCAGGAAATTGGACTCTATGATCTTTATGGGTCCCTTCCAACTTGAGATATTCTGTGATTCTATAATCAAATGATAGCCTCCAGATCAGGTGTAAAACCAAATTAAACATTGTCCAGACTTCCCCAAGATGCCAGAAGGTTCTTCCAGGCCTGGCAGATACAGTGTCCTACCTTAATGCAAGTCAAGTAGACCTGTTCTGGAAAATACATCTCACTGACTCCATTAGTAGGGAAAAAACCATGAGAGGGGAACTATAACTATGGAGGGGTTCGTTATGTTGTCTCTGTTCTATGTGTGCTCCTTTTCTATTGCATTCTCTTTCTCCAAATAGGATTAGTAAGAGAGTATCAAGTTAGCATTTTTTCTGAAATGAAAAAACTGTGTCATGCGAGGAAGGGGCAGCTCATTCAAGACAGAGGTGACTTGTTCAGCTAAGAACACTTCAGCTGAGCTGTCTGTGTCGACTAATATAGACCAACTCAGGAGACCAGCCAGCTGTGACAAGGTCAGGAGCAAAAGCAAGCTGAGCTTGAATGATGGTTTTTCTTTGTTAGAAGGATACAAAAACAAAATGCAAAGGAAACTTTAGCAAATCTTAAGATTCAGGAAGCCTCCACCCATCCACTCAACCTGAAGTCAGGAACCTTGGGCTTCCTGAGTGCACAGCATGTTTTTCGAAGCGGCCAGTGCGTGTTTAACATGTTTCTGGCAAAGAATGCCCTCCTGCCTCAATTTTTCTTTCAAGTCTGGACATTTTTTTTTCCTCTGTGAGAGATCTCCAAGGCTACCAGTCTGGCCCTTTGGAAGCTTTTTCTTTCTCTACAGAACAGACCTAGGAAATCAGACTCTAAAGAGTGAGTGGGCAGATTTGTTGTTAGCTCTTAATTGCCTTTCAGCCGTATTTGCTGAGACCCACACATACACACACTCGTGACACTGACACTGCCAGCTACACAGACCTCAGACAAAGTGCTGTCTTCAACAATACCTACATATATAACATGCCTGGGCTCACATAAAACATTAAGTATAAACAACCATGCCTCCTTCCTCTTCTGTGACTGGTAGTGATTGGAGTTCAGTGGTGAAAGCCCTCACACGATGCTCTCTAGATTCACAAGCACATGCACATTCATGGATCCCCAGAGTACCAGCATGACACCTCTACTCATTCACTGCCCTTGCTCCTGCACCAGGTCTGGTGAAGATAACAGAAATTTGACACATACCACAAGCCCAGGGCTGCCTGCACTCCCAGTGTGACCTGAGTTGTTGGCCTTAAGTTCACTCAAGCCACCCCGCTTTGCCCCAGTAGCTGGCACTCCAGGTACAGTGCTTTGAGATTCTCCGAGATCTGTGCCCCCTCCACCTGTTGACACAGAAACCCTCACTCATGCCAGTTGCTGATACCACAGGCCCATCAGTTTATTTGGAGACTCATGGTCATCGTCTCTGTTAGTCCTTGTCTGTCGTGTTTGTGTTGTTGTGTTTTTGTTTATCAGTGCCCCCTTCACATATTCTTGAAAAGATCATTGATTGGATAATGTTAATGAAGCAGATTCTCACTTTCCACACACCCTTAAAATAACCAATGTGAAATTGTAATTAAGTGTGTAAGTTACTTAGAATAACCATCTTACTGATGTGTTTTCCATCTGTCTTAAGTTATAAATTTAAGAAGTTAAACTAGTGATACTGAATTAAGTTCAGGCGTTGCAGATTTTAACAGAGGTTAGAGTCGGGTTTTTCTATTTGGTTTTTTGTTGGTTTTTTGGGTGTTTTTTTTTTAAATGGTGGTCTGCTCACAAATGTAAATACTTAAACCTAAAATGAGGGTAGTATTATAGAATCTGTGCCCATCCAGCATGGGAATATCTAGTCCCCAACATCTGAAGTTTGATCCAAAAGCCACTGAAGTATGGCAAAATTACTAGTTTCTGTTTCCCCATTGTGTTTGTGTAAGTCTGGAGTAGGTCTGATGGCATCACTTTGAAAAGTATATCCTGGACCTTGCTGACTGCTCAGATTCTTCTGACAGGGGAATATTAATTTTATGGAGCCTGAATGTGTACCAAACACGATGCTAAAGTCTTTTATTTTTCCTTTTGCACTTTTTTTTTCTTTTCTCTCCTATAGAGGCTATTCTTAGTTGCAAGCACAGATTTTCAAAAGGGATGAGCTTAAGAATAGAATGGAAGAAAATCCAGTCTCAAGGAGTCTCATTTGTCTACTACAATGGTGAATTTACAGGTACAGTACTACAAATTTAGACTGATGGTTTAATGTGTCATTCTCTAGCATAGATATCTACTCTTTCTTGGTGAATACCATTAGGAAAATGACTGAAAGAGAGTGCTCTTGACTCTCCATGCTGAACAGCTGTCCTTCTGAGAAAAAGAATGCTTTCCTGGGGGGAAAAAAAGGCATTTCTTGATAAAATTATCAGTTATTAGTTACCTTTTTAATGAAGTGAAATATAATAAAGCTCAAGACTAAGAAAAATGGCACTGTATATTCCTTGAAGTTTTTCAAAATTGAAATTACGTCCAAACATAAACTCCCCAAAATTACTTTTAGCTCTGTACTGCTATCCTACAAAGAGGCCTCTGAAGCCTCTTGTAGAGCTGGAGGCTTAGATATGAATAATGCAGCAATTTTTATATACATAAAATATAAACTCAGCTGTATATTTTAAATTATTCGTGTTCTTTTCAGAAGTGGAATTTCTCTTTGTCATCTTAAAAGGACTTACCTCACCTTTATGCGTTGAAGAAAATAGGAGTTTCTAGTACCTTGTACACAATAAATGCAAGTTGAGAAGTAAAATAAAAGCACAGCAATTTTGTTTGTTTGTAGAGCTTGCAAGATGTGCTAGTCTTGATAATGGACTTGGGATATTTTTCTGCATATGTTTAATTTAGAGCGACACTGGAACTCCTAGTTCTGAGTGTGCAAGTAACTTTAATTTCACAACAACCTGTACAATGAACAAAACCTCATTATAAGAAGTCTGATGGCAATATCTTTGCTGAATCCATCAAGCGTTTCTTGCCAAATTGAAATGTCAAATACTTTGCTGTGGTCTGATGCAGAGTTCTTTTTGTAAGGGAATACCATCTTCCAGTTAGAAAATGTATGATGAATGTAAGTTTTTGAACTGAGGTTTTTTGGACTAAATGGACAAGTTGTGGAAGGTGCTCACTGTCTTGAGAGGGGGACTACATATTGCTCATTGATGACAGATAACGAACACTGAACAAATGAGCAATAGTTCACAAATTTTAAGTTATCTCAGAGCAAGCCAATGAGATACAGATATCTGCTATAAGCAAAAAGCAGAAACCTCTCTATCTGTTCTCCCTTTAAAGGTGATCTTCGAGGCCGAGCAGAGATGCTGAATACAGGAATCCGTATTAGAAACGTGACTAGAAAGGATTCTGGCACCTACCGCTGTGAAATCAGTGTAAAGAGTGAAGAGGAGCAACACCTGGGAGAGGCTACTATTACTCTCACAGTATTAGGTACAAACAGACTTTATTACTTGGGCTTTTGTAAAGAAATTGAATGATGGCAAGGGGTGTTGAAAGTAGAGATGTCCATATGGTGCATGGCTGCTGGATTTTTCGTCTTTGGGCTATGTTTAGAAATACATGTGCATATGCGCATTCTACAGCCTACTTCACAAAAGAGCTTTGCAAAATGCATGCTTGCATTAGGAAGGAACATAACTAGTTTTTTTATTTATATAAATGTGTCATTCAGGTCTCAAAACATAGCAAGTATGCTGATTCATGTGGTGGTGAACCTTCCATGTCTACTACAGCTCAAGTCACTCAGTGGTTGAGAATCTGGATAACCTGATCATGGTGTTTGGCACTGGAAAGTTAGCATCTGTCAACACTTATCAAATATTCCTAAGCATCAGTTCATTCCAATATGCTACAGCCTCCTCTTGTTTTTGGAAGGAGAAACTGCCGCAGCATCTGCACCATGCCAGCGAGTGAGCTAGCAATCTATGGACTTTATTTACAGGAGAGATGGTGTTGGCTTGGCTGGGGGGAGGGGTGGGTGGTTGCTCTTTGTGGTTTTTCGCTTGTTTTCTTTTCCAGTGTGGGGAAAGGAGGGAAAACTGAATAGTGAGCACATTCTTCTTACATTGTTCCTGGTATTTTTTGCAGTGGATGAGTGGTAGAGTTTGGTAGTTCTCTTCTTTTCTCTATATATAGAGAAAAGAAAATACTAGCTTTTGTAACTTCTATATTGCTTTTTTCTGTTAAAAATAATTGATTTAAAAATTATAAATAAAGTCTCAAAGATCTTCATAAATGATGATAAATTCAAGAACTTCTGATTAGCTCCAACAATGAGTTAATGCCACCTTTTGCTGCTTTCTTCTACTCTCTCAAAAGATTTCCTCTTTTAAATGGGGTCTCTTAATGTAGAGTTGAAATTTTAGAGCCCAAAGGAGATTTTGTGTATGTGTGTTTCTTACAAACCTGTTTGAAAACTAATGGGAATTTAGCATTTAACTTTATTTTCTTTATTTTTGCTTTTTTATTTTAAAAGCAGCCAAGAAAAACTGTGAATACCTGTTAAGGTGTCACTCATGCTTTTAAAGTACCATACACACCTTTTCACCTTTAATTTTCTTCTACATAGCTTCAAGTTACTAATAAAAACCCAAACTCTAAGTTTCTTTTCTGTTCACATAAGAATAATTGAAAAAGAGATGTTCATCTTCATAGCAGACATAATGATCAGTTCTCCTGCATCTATATGTGGGAATGTTATTTTGTAATTTAAACTGAAATTTCTTAGCCACTTGTTTTTGTCCTCAACCCGGGATTCCCACAATGGCTGTGATGATGGCCAGTCTTGGTAATACTTTCTGACAATCGTTTTTCAAAAAACATTTTACTTCTTTTATTAAAAAAAAATATCTTTTTCTTCACTTCTGTTTTTAAATACTGGGGTGGGGGAGGAATTTCTGAACTACAAATTCCCTGAGTTATCCCCTTTCTATCTGAGAGCAAGAGGTGCCACATAAGAAACAGGGTGAAACATACTCTCTGGGGTTGGATGAGTGTATGGATTGGAAACAGGATGACACAGCGTGTGGTGGAAGAGACTGGGAGCAAGTCTCTTTCTTCTACTTCTCTAGCGACTCACAAATTTTACTGTGCTGCTCCAGTAGCAGGACTCTTCCTTCAGCCCCTTCTCTAGCACCAGTCTTCACTAACATGGTAGTTGCTAGGCACGTGCACAAGTGCTCATCTCTACCTCAGTGACTGCTAAACTGCTGTCATATAGAGAGTACTGATAATAGTGTGTAACAAGTGCAATTTCACTGTCCAGTTCCTCCGACTGCTCCGGTCTGTGAGGTACCCAGCTCTGCGATGACAGGAACAGTAGTGGAACTGAGCTGTAAAGAGACTGAGGGGTCTCCTCCATCTGAGTACCAGTGGTACAAGAATGGTGTTGCCTTACTGGAAAAGACAGGAACAGGCAGTGCTAGAGCAGCAAACATAACTTACACCATGAATAAAAAGTCTGGCACTCTGGTAAGTATAATAACCAACTTTGTAGTAATTTGATCTTCTTGAGAGCTGATTTACTGTCTTGTACAATGATGCACAAGGTCTTTGTTGGAGATCAATGTCATGCTGAAATGTGCTAACAAATGTAGAAGATGGTTTCTGCCTTAGACCAATAACAAGCCATAGATGTTGAGTGATACAGGCAAATCAGGTGAGCTGAGTTGCAAGGCTGCAGTAATGATAAATGAGCAGAATGTAGAAAAGACATGACAAATTTCACCTTGTCAGTTAGCTAACTAGTGGCAGGTGAGAATGATCTCTCAGTATGTCAAAAGAGTTACATCTGATAGCGCCTTAAAATCTGAAATAGCACCTTCACGCACCTTGGGGGGAGTGCAGCACTAAGGACAGTCTGTGCAATCTGTGCAGTCCAGCAGCATTTACAAGTTGCAGTCCAGTACTTGTGAAGTCAGTGGGAATAAGTCAGGGCTTTAAAAAAGTTTAGTGTGTGGTAGGGGGTGTTAGTTTTATTTGTTTGATTTCTACCCTTCCCCCCAGAACTGCCCATCTCTTTCTTATCCCCTCCTCCCTGCCCTGCAATTACCTGATCCTTCTAGAAAAATTGATGTATACGACTTAAGATGCATTGTCAACTGAGATTTTTCAGAAGTAAAGAGTTGTTCTAGGAACATCCTACTTTTCTGCATGATCAAACTTTGAAACTGAAATGTGACTAAGCATTGAGAAGTGCTGTAGATCTTTCAGTACACTGTGGAAATTAGGTGGACTATTCAAAATTATTAATCACTTCTGAAAAATCTTAGTTTTAAAATACATGATATATTAAAGGGGAAACAGTTAACAAGTCTGGTGATTTTAAAAAAACACAGAGAAACACAGGAATTTACATGAGGTTAGTCTCTGTCCATCTCTTGCTTCCTCATTTTAATTTTTACTGTAATAGTATTTGATAAATAGTGCAGTTTAGCATTCTTTCATTGGAATAAGAGAGGAAGTGCCACTTCTGGGGAGGAAAAAGTAAAACCACAAACTTTCTGTGGGAAATACTGTTTGTAGTACATAATTATATTTTTATGTATTTTTAGTTGGAAAGTACTGATCAATTGAAAAAGAATCTCCTGGTAGGTACACTCCGTCTAGTTAAAATGTCCATCTAAAAGACCCTCTTAGACCAGAGGCTGAATTATGAGGTTGAACTGGACCAGAATTTCTCACTTTCTTTCAGATTTTTGTTGCTGTTGTTTAAAAAAAAGTACAACAAAACAAACAAACAAAAAAAACCAACCCTGCTGACATGTCAAAATTTCTATCCCACAGGAAATACTGATTTTTTTATTTTTTTTCCATTCTGATAATGGTTTTGGACTCTGTCTTAACAGCTATTTAACACAGTTACAAAGAACGACACTGGAGAGTATTTCTGTGAAGCCTCCAATGGGATTGGATTATCTCAGAAATGCTCAGTGAAGCGAATGCAAGTTGGTATGTGTCAAAGAAAATAAGGACGGAAAGCAGTCTTGCAATAGGATTGATTTTAGTGCATGATAAAACTGAGAAGCTAAGACTAGACTGAATTATCTTTTTGTTTGATTATGGCATTTTGGGGGAGGAAGAAGAATAATATGAGTTCCTTATATGTAGTTGCTTTGGCTACTTAAAGCATTCCT